TAATAATTAATAAAGCAGTGGGAAAAAACGAACATAACTTATCATGCTTTTTTATCTTAGTAAAAATGTATGTTAGGAACATCTAACAATTATAAATTAAAAATATACGTTACGTATATTTTTATACATAATGACTATAAATAAAACACAACTTTTGTCTAATTGTTGATGAATCAGTTAGTATTTTTCTAGACCATTTTAATATTGAGCATATTCATTTCATTCCAATTATTTCTACAATTCAATAAAATCGATTTCTCAAAAAAAAAAAAAGTCTAAAAAATTATAAAACCACGTGATCTATATTACCTAATCACACGACGGATAAAAAGACTTCCGTCACGTTACGGTGAATCTTGAAAGGTAAGAGAATTTTTAATTATTTGTCGCAGTGTATGTACATAATTCACTAAATAACTATAATTGTTCTTTTTTTGCTTGATAGAAAAAAGTTAATTCTAATGATAAAATCTACACATCCATCTTCCCAACAATGCAATATTGTACGCAGGGCAGTCCGAGTACAAAAGCCGAAACGAACGACTGTTTTCGATTTCGATGGTCAGATTATCTCCATAATACCCGGGCCCAACGCTGCTCGAAACAATATAGTTTCCAACTAGGTTACGAACTGCTTGTACTTATCAAGGCCGAAGTGTATTACAATAGTTGTTAACTGTTTCCAAAAGTTAATGAATGGACTATATAGAACTTAATCGGTGGGAAAACCACTAGAAAACATAATTCCGTCGAGATATTCTTGATTACACGAATTCAGCATACATATTAAAATTGAACGTGAAAACTGACATTTATCACCACATTTTACGTATCCGCTATAGTGGAAGTAAATACCCGTGTCGAAAAATTATATCTAACATCTACATTACACCCGTCGACAAACAACTCCTTTACTCTTGTACTATTATTATTATTGTTTTTTTTTGCCTGATGTTAATTTTTCAGGTTTTCTTAACTACTTCACTCACACACCTGACCTGAGTATCAGAAGCAAAAAAGTCAAGTTTTTAAATTAGTTATATTATGACCGTAGGTTTTTTGAAGAGAAGCTTTTTACAAACAAAATAGTTCGTCAAAGATTACTGTTGATCAACATTTTGGGGTTTGTTAAAATCTGCAATCGCACATGCTTTTTCTTTGGACCACCTTAACGATCTGAACATGTGGAAGAGATAATTGACTTGTCCCCCTCAACAGTTTTTAAGGCTTAAAATTTATTGTAATGCGAGGTATGTGCGAAATTAGTTGAAACTCGGTTATTTTATGAAACAAAATTCAAAAACGTATCAATGTTTATAACAAGAGAAAACATTCATTTTTTATTGTACAAATTTTAAATTTTGTTGTGTACCCAAACAAAAATTATCTTTCAATAACTATCGATGACTGATAAAACTGTTAATAAAAAAAATAAATTTCATACTTGAGACTGAGAATAAAGTTAAATAACTGTTAATTTTTTTTTTTTTTTCTTTCGTCAGGAATAACAATTCGGATAGTAGATAAAAAAATAAAAACTGATATTAACTGTTATATGTTATGTAAACATATAAGTAATTATAATTGATACTGACAGTTTATCATAAATATGTACTACGTATCATTAATAATCATGAAATTTTTGATCAACTCATAAAAATTGCTTTAAATTATCAACTAATTTTTTATAAAAACGATTTAATGTCGTTATTTAATGGTGGAAAATAAAACCATATACTTCATTCCAATTTTTAAAATAATAACTATAATATTAACTATTAAAAAGATGAATATTACAGTCTCAAACATTTGTACTTAATTATTTGTTATTATTAGTTTACGTTTATTATACATTTTTATAAATAGTTGAATGAATGAAATAATTTTTGCTTGGGTATTGCTGTTCATAAATGCATATACTGTTTAACATAAACAGTAAATGGTTTTTTTCGAATAAATATACATCCTCTTCGGTTGCTTGCAGAAACTTTTGACCATTTATTAACTACTTCTGCACTGGCTACGAGAAAATAGCGATTGCGTCTTTTACTCTATTCTCATTCATATGTTTATTAACATTTGATTTCTAATTCCAAAGGCTATGTTAAGAGGCGATCATGTCTGGTGGAACACTAGTTTTAATTTTCATATCTCAAACAAAACTCCAAACAACAGTAACTCAGCATAAGAAAAACGTTGCTTTTCAGGAGGTTCCGGAAAAAAATACGTTATTTTCAAGAACGTAATTTATGCGCGTATGAATTTTTTCAATATTTTTTTCCAGACGTGTTTTTGAGAAAAAAAAATTAAATTCAATAATTCGATGTAGGATCTGATGGGGGTCACTAATTATATGTTATTCAATGAAACTTTTTTGAAGATATTTTGATGGATTTTTTAAATTTATTTGTTTATTTATTGTTTTTTTAAAACAGAATATTTTTAATTAACTCAATTTAAACTGGGAATAACATTTTTTTTTTAATTTTGATTTATTTAAATGGTAGTTTGAATGAAATTTATTTACTTTGATTTACCTTTTATATGTAGAGAGTAGAGAGTAACATACATCGGGAGAGTACTCGATAGTCGAAAAAAAGTATCGAAGAAATAATCGATAGTTTTGAAAAAGTATCGATTGTCGATTACTTTTGACAGAAACTGGCCTAACCTGAAGTAGGCGTACCTGAACACGTGACTGACGTGCAGATTTGCAGAACAGGTGATGAACACAGTCCAATCCAACGTGTAGTGCTTTTGTCAACTGTCAAGAATGTGCAGCCGATTTGTGAAAACAAAAAATTCATGGCTTTTTCCGCTGATCCGTTGTCATTTTATATAATACTGATTGCAGATTGCGAATGCAAAAGTTTTTGTGTAATTAATTAAGTTACAACTCTGATAGTACATACTTTCTCTTATCCGTATTTAGTACTGATAAACTGCTTTAGTTGCTTACTTGCAGTTAAGAGAAATCCATTTAACAGATTCACGTCGCAAACTATGAATTTAGTGAAAGTTTTTTTTTCTTCATCCTCATCGATGAAATGGACAATGGTAAATGTACATGCCACTATTGACTCTACCCTGGTGGCATGAATAACTTTTTACAACCTCAGGAGAGACGTATGTTTGCATAATAGTAGTTGACATTCCAATAAAGACTGTAAAGTAAGTTATTCCGATTGGTATGATTTTAAGACAAGATAAAACTGGCCATTGCTTGAATGCCTCCAAAAATTGAATATTTTCGTTATTTTTAGGTGTGAACGTTTTTGCTACACAACAGTTTTTGTTGTATGTTTTTTCATCATGTCGTCATCCAATGCGATAAATACAAATAATGCAAATAAGAATTACTTGAAACTAGCTCAGTTACACAATTCTTCTCATGAATTTTATTTAGATGACATGAAAATGTTTCTCAACAAAGATTTCGACATTAACTATGCACTGTCGTTTGATAGCCAAGTACAGCATGAAAAAGCCCAAAAGTGGTTAGGCTACACGGCCTTACACTTTGCCGTAGATATAAAGGCCAAAGATCATAAATCCATCATAAATTTGCTTTTAAAACACGGAGCTGATTTCACTCGCAAAAACAACGAGGGTCTAACACCCTTGCACTTGCTTCTCAAAAAGTACCTTACCACTTCTGCAGTGCATCGTGATTCGTGCAAAACGCTATTCAACCCGTTGCTGTTTGCTCACGTCAACTTCAACAATGTCACAAATCCTTGCTGTAGAAATGAAATATCTCATCTGCACATAGCCATCATAGCTGATAATTTGCAAGTAACGAAATTTTTCTTGGATGCCGGTATTTCCGTGAATGAAACCATCAGTGTCGACTCAAGCTCTTTTCCAGGATACAGTTGCTTACATTTGGCCATGGCAAATGAAAATAAAGAAATGGTTAAAATGCTACTGAAATACAATGCAGATCCCGTGTGCCTGAATTCCGATGGACTGAGTCCCCTACATTTGGTTATTAAAAAACATCTGACTGACGTTACATTGATAGGATGTAGAAAGAAACAAGAAAGTAAACTTTTCAACAATGAAAATATAATGGATTTATTGATTGAATCCTTGAAAAAAAAAAACTGCTTACCACGTTTCATGGGCTTAACTGAGTTGCACGTATATTGTGCAAAGTATCAAACTTGCAAGCCCGAGATTTTGCAAAAAATGCTAGACCAAAACATTGACTTGAACGCTTCTGTAAATGACGACTCTCCAATTTGGCAGGGATACACGCCGTTACATTTTGCCGCCCATTGCAATCTGCAAACAGTGTTGTTGCTTGCAAAGAAGGGCGCAAATCTTTTGGCCAAAAACATGAATGGCATTACTCCGCTGGACATATGTCTCCAAAAATATTATCTAGGTAATACCATTGACATTTTAAAGACTCAAGACGAATTCAAATCAATTGAATTCAACGATGGACAAAACTTGATTGATGTTCTCACTTATTTTAAAAGTTTGGACAAATTATACAAGCATTTGAGTGTTACCAACAACGTTAACAATGCCATTCCCATGGAGTCACCTTTGTGGCCAGGTTACACGTTATTGCACATAGCTGTAAAGGTGTGTTCTACACAGGCTGATGGCAAAGTAGTTCAAATTTGTTTGAAACATGGTGCGGACATAACTATTCAAGACGCCAATAAAATGACGGCACTTCACCTGGCACATCATTTGAAGCACAAGCAATGCGCTTTAGAAATTTTGTCTAGCCATCAAGATATTTTAACCAATCCAGTAGACCAAAACAACATATCTCACTTCCACGTATCGATATCTGTGCCTGGGCAGTCGGAATTGGGACAAAAGTTTTTAAAAAATGGAGTTGATTTAAATGAGGTGGTAAAAATGGACACTTTTTGGCAATTCATTCGAGGTACCATTTCTAAACAATATGCAGTGATACCCAAAGGCTCGACACTCCTTCACTTTGCAGTGGCTACGCTGTGTAGGTGGTTGGTCAGGTACTTGCTGGAAAATAATGCAAATCCATATGTTCTCGATGCCGATGGTCTGACTTGGCTCCACCGAGCATTCGACAACGAAAATTTTAAGTGGCTGAGGTATACCGTCTGGCAAAAAGATAAAGCTCTTGAATCGAATCCAGTGGCTCCAGGTGGTTTATCTCATTTCCATGTAGCTTGTCTCTGTGGAAATATAAAGTCTGTCAGGGCCCTGCTTCTAATGACGCCCAACATCAATGAGCCAATTACCAGTGATCTAATGAAGTGTATCAAAAAACTTCCCGAGGACGTTTGCTTAGGGGACACTCCTTTGCATTTGGCAGTTAAAGCTCAGTCTCAAAATGTGATCGAGTTCCTCTTGAAAGCCGGTGCAGATCAAACGGCAAAAAATGATAAAGGACTAAACTCACTCCAAGTGGCTTTGGAAATGAAGAGCTCCAAAGCAATAATCAATCTTTTTACTTCGAAATTTTATGAGAAGCACAATTGGACCGATGACACAGGATTGACACTACTGCATATAGCGTGTGCCACGAAAGATGAGGCTAAAATAGAAATTTTGTTGAAAAAAGTACACGATGCTAACAGTCAGATAAAAAGTGATTCCCCGATATGGCCAAATGAAACTCCTCTCAACATCGTAGCAAAAGAATTTATTGTTGATCATTTTCATTATTCTAAGGCCGACTCAATAGTCAAACTCTTTCTCAAACACATCCTTCGATCCATGGAGTCTTCTGTTCCTGCTAATCAACGTTCACGTGGTAATGTACAACAAAATCATTCGTGTAAACTTACATTCTTGTCGAACAAATTTTTATTTCGAAATGTGTTTCGAGTTTAGAATCGAAAAAACGTAAAGTAGCTCCCTTAAGCAACCAAAGTTTTGTCATAAATCAAGACGGATTGTCTGCTTTTCACCTAAGCTGCATGGGAAGTGATTCCGACATTGTTGAGAAATTTTTGAAGTTTGGTGCTGATATCAATGCGCAGAATGACTGCTTCTCTTCCAATAATGCTGGTTACACACCTCTGCATTTTGCAGTACAATTCGGTAGACAAAGTATAGTTGAAGTGCTATTGAAATATGGAGCTGACATCAACATTGAGAACTGCAATGGGTACACCCCTCTTCATTTGGCAGTTTCAAAACGATTAAAATTCGTCAACATATTTTTAAGGTATTTTAATTTATTTCACATTTTTAGTTAAGCAATCATACAAGTAGCTTTTAATCGAGATAATTTTTAATCTTTGTTGTTAAGTCAACAATAACGTCAAAAATCAGGCGTGTTTTGCTTCGTGTTACTGTAAAATTCTGTAAAAATTCATATTTATCTTTAAAATTGACTTTATTTTTATAACTATTAAATAATCTTGTATAGAATGTGTTTTCAATTTTAACAAATTTATTATTTTTTCCTCAGAGAACGTGAAGTAGACCTGTCCGTTAAAAATTCGTTCAATCAGACATTCGCCGATGTGTTACTTAAAAATATGGAAGAATTTAATGAAGACTTTGTGGAATGTAGCATGAACATTTTGAGATGTGGTGCAGCTAAAAATGCTAATTTTTCCACCAAGACATTGCTTATAAACTTATTACTAAACAACTTTGGTACACCCACTTTAAAAAAACTGATTGAATTCATACCTAATTTATCTGAAACGGATAGTCAACGTCGCACAATTATGCATCACTGTTTGAAGCAGTATTACAATCTTTTCCAGAATTATAGGGGTCGTTTAGCTGACAAGATTGAGATACTCCTGGAAAATGGCATACCGCTTGATCAACAAGACAGATGTGGTAAGTTAATCTTTAGAAAGAGAAGATGTTTGTGACATCTCGTATCTCTTTAAGGTGGTCTATTAGCTCAGAAAGACATTTTTATTTTTTGTTACTATGTTGGCAAATGTGTCTTTAAAACTATTCTTTTTAGAAAATTCTTTTAACTTAATGAAACAAAGGCTTGTACTTTAAAAACTCTATTTGTCTGTGCATTAGAGGACTGATGGTTTTTTGTTTGATTTGTTTTTATTTTTTATTTATAAGGTAGTATTCAGATAGTGCTCATGTCATAGAACTTCGAAAAAACGTACTACAATTGAATTGTACATAGATGAATAAAATTAGGAAATTCTTGAAATTTGTTGGATTTGTACTTGCACCTAAACTCAAAAATTACCTTTTTTTCACGAAAGTAATTAAAAATTTTATTTGTTGCGTAAAACTTATTTGAATAATGATAATAAGCAACAAAAAAAAATCAAGCTCTCGATTTACAAATCGAAGAAAGCGGATTCTGTATAAGAAATTGAACAAACAAATTTACAGGGAGACTTATCATATCTTCGTAGAACTTAAACTCATACTTTCTTCGAGGAATATAAATAACTTCATCAATTATTTAAAGAAAAAAAATTGTTGTTTGTTCAAAGTATTTTAATTCATTAAATGCGTTTTTCCTTCTTTAGGTAGAACACCTCTTCACTACGCAGGTTTGTGCTACAAAAATCTCGAGCATGTCGTGACATTTTTGAATTTGGGAGCTGACATAAATGTGATTGACAGTGAAGGGCACACTCCCTACACGTGTTGCTTTAAAAATGTGTATGACACGCATACCCCTATAGTTGAAAAATACCACGAACACATAGCTAAAATCGAGGCTGCTGGATTGTACCTACATCCTCTAAACAGAGAGCGAAAACGAAGAAACTCGTATCTGTATGGAGAATATTCGTACGTACTGGACGAGAAGGCGATGGACAGAGTAATCTACGATTCTCTTCGACTGCGCGATCTTCTTACAGAAGAAATAGTGTTGAACTTTACCATGATGACGCCCTCCAAGCGTGAATTCATCAAAAAGTTTCTCAGATCCAAATCACTGCACGAAGAATTTGCTGAATGGTCGGCCTTGTTTAATTTGCAGTACAGAAAGATGTTGGAAAGACAAAGCCTGTGGGGATCTGCAGTCGAATCATTGTACGAAAGTCTCGACCGTAAGCTTCCAAAGCTTTGTTTGGAATGCATTTTACAGTATTTTAGCACTGACGATTTGAAAAATGTGGTTTGTAATAAAAGAAAATAAAGTCAAGTGCAATTTTGGCGCTCTAATGCTTTTACAACTTTGTTTTTATTAATTAAGCAAGTTAGCTTCGTTTAAAAACGTAATCAATGTTTATGTGCTTGCCTTAATATTTTTTTAATTTTTGCTGTATTTAATAATTTGTGGAAAAAAATTTTTGTGTTGTGTCTTTGATCATAATTATGATAATAACATGTATTGATTAAAATTATGACTTTCAGCGATATTTTGTATAAGGTAATTTATGCATAACACTATACGAATAAAAAAATCATAAATATAGTTTTGTTCTTTATTTACCTAATTACTCTCCAGTATTTTTTTTCATCAGGAAATGTTATAAAAAACTATGATGTGAAAATAATTTTTATGTTAAATGTAACAAATAAATGAGTATCGGCACATAAAATTTATTATTCATTATCTACTACCGGAAACCATTTGACGTAATTTTATTGATTATGAGTCAGCAGAAAAAAAAAGTTTTGCTTTGTTGAAAAAGTTACTTTTTGTGCGGCTGAGTTCCAATTTTGGAGCTGTTACTATAACAATATATTTAAATAAGTGTATTATTATATGAGTGATTTTGCCACAAATAGCTGAGAGTAACTTCAAAAGTGGTTTTAAGAGATGGGTAATCAATAAGTTGTTTTTCATTGTATTTATAGGTATTTCAAATGCCATCCACAGCAAGTTTCCAGAGCAACTTCACTACAAAGTTTCTTGGGTTAAACGATATACGAAATTTTGTAAAAGTGAATTTTGAGTCAGTATATTTTCGAAAAAAATACTTGTTTCTGGTACATATATACATAAAAGTTACTTGTAAAGTGTTATTACCTGCCCTATCAAAAATATCAGTGATGAATCAATGCTCTAATCAGTCGTAAATTACATCGTTGATTATGCGTTTATTCCATGTTAAATCAATGCTGATTCAGTGAAAAAATTTAATTTCATGTCCCTATTTAAGAGATACAGCTGTTTCAAAAAGGGCGAAAAGAAAAACATTAGCCATGAGAAATTTTGCGGATATTATCCTGAAACTCGTTATTTTTATTTAACCCCTAACTTTTTTATTAGTAGTACGAAAACTGAACAACTGTTCTTTTTTTTTTTTTTTTTTTTTTTTTTAACAGGGCTTAGTTTCAGCTATTTCGTGATAATGTGTTTCCTCAAAAAGTGGAAAAGAGAGACGGCTCGTGACACGTTGATTTCTGAGCATTTTCGAATTTATATACCAACATGTTATGCAGAAAATGCGTATCTTGCACGGAGAGTTTAGAACACTGACTCAATGAAATAAAACAATATTTTATACCACTGTATATAAAATGGTGTGCAATTAATGTGCATGCGTTCTGCGTCACGTGCAGCAAGTGCAGTAAAGATATCATAATATAACATTTTTTCGTCCTATTTAACTTTATAAAACCCTCGATGGTGCTTATGAAAGAAAAAATTGAATAATAATAACAGTAAAAATTGGAATAAATTGTTTCTTTTTTATTAAAACTGGAGAAGGCCTGGGCCCGCTATTTTCATGGTTTTTCTTGTATCCCTTGCAACATTTTTTTTTTTTAAATCAAATAACTAAATGTAAATTAAATTACTTGCGTTTAGTCTATTTGCTTTAGGTTTTACTGTAATGCTTGGTACACGTAGCCTTACACGCATAAAGCAACTTTTTAAATTATAATTTCGCAATCTCTTATAATCTACATTTTAAATGAAAATGTTACACAATAGGTATATATTTTCTTAAATATAAACGCTTTAAAAAAAATGGGGTTCACCCCACCGGGAATTGAACCCTCTACCCCTAGAACTAGTGTTATTTATGTGACCATCACCTTAGCCACATTTATTTTCTTTCCTTTACATTTTTTTTATTTTTTTTTTATTTTTTTTTTATTAGTGCTCTACGTCCGGCTCCTTTTAATAAAGGCACTACTATCGGCACTTAGCACTTGGGAGAAGGAAGGGAAGAGGGATGGGAGGCCTCCCATTACTGGAAGGGGGGTAGGGAAAAATTAGGCAATTATGCTGCGAGGAGGTCAAAAAAAAAAAAAAAAAAGTTGTGAAACACCACGAAACATTGGGAAACAATTGCCATCCGATTCTGATGGGCATAATACAGAGAAACAACTATTTAAAATCGACGAAATACCTTTTTTTTCGATTTTTCAACAATAATTTTTATAATCTTAGTAAAAGTTTCTTCAATCGGATGGCATTTATAATTTAAACTATTATCTGTACAAATAATAATGTGTATCAATACCGTCCGTTTTGATTAAATTCACCCCTACTTTTGCAACCCCCTAAATCTCCTTAAAATTACAATGATGTTTTTATATGGTATTACAATAGTTATAAGCGTAAAAAAAAAAAAAAATAATAAATAAATAAAAACAAATTTGTTTCCATAAGATCTATGTTAATTCACCCCTACTCGACTATAAATAATATATATATATTGCCAAAGTGACGATTTGTTTTGGGATACCAGTACCAATACCTATGTCATGAGGTGTTGATTACTCGTTTAGGTAAAATAGGTACAACTTTTATACAGTCTTTTAGTCATTGGAAATGAGAAACGCATTGTTAAAGTGCCCCAACTCCCCCTATACGGAGTGTTGAGCACTACTGTTGATACCCCCACCCCTTCCTAATGGGTCCTAAAAACATTTATAAAAAATACGAAATGAGGCCCAAATAATGATAAACTGGAGCAAAAAACCCCCTAACCGATGTAAAAATCTTGTGTCGTTTCAGGCTGTATTATGAGTCCACGGCGCTCGAGCATCGTCCCCCAGTTGAGCTGGCGCAGCAGGTCGGTACTGCTGGCCAATTGTCCCCGGGCCGGCGGATGAGGAGAAGGATCGGTTAGGCCGGGGCCGGGGAGAGCGGGGGGAGGGGCCGGCCGACGAGAGCCGGAGGAGCGGCTGCTCTTCTACCCTCGTCTCGGCTCGTCCGATGCTCAAGGACAACAAGTTGAGGTACGAGGGCGAGGGCGGCGGGCCGGGCCCCGGTGCAATCGGCGACTCCAGTACCACCACCAACAACAACAGCAACAGCAACAACAACAACAGCAACAGCAACAACAACAACAACAACAACAACAACAACAGCAGCAGCAGCAGTGGCCAGCAGCAACAATGTCAGTCCCAGCAGCAGGCCGCCTTCGGCAGCTTTGGCGACGTGGTCGGACCGGGCGCCGCCGTATCCTACTTCCCCGGCGGCGCGGCGCTGCTCGCAGCGGCAACTGCCGCCAAGGAGGCGGCCCCGATGACGGCAGCGGCGTCGGTCCTCCAGCCTCAGCAGCAGCAGCAACAAAACGAGCAGCAGCCAGTCGGGCCGGTGACGACGACCAACCATCCTACGAGCGGCACGAAAGAGGTGCGGTACGCCGGTGCGTTCCCGGTGGTTGGTGGTCCGCCGGCGTTGCCGCTAGAGGCGTGTCCCGGGCTGCCGCCGAGTGGAGCGCTGCCGGCGCCGCTGCCGCCGCCGCTGCCCCCTGGCGGTCAGCTGCCGTTGGAGCTGCAGCAGCAGCGGGGCTTCTCCCAGTCGATGAGCTCGTTGCCGCCCGAGCCTTTTATGATCATGCAGTCGAAGGCACTGAATCGACGGGTCTCCATAAACGTGGGTGGGGTGAGGCACGAGGTGTTGTGGCGCACCCTGGAGAGGCTGCCCCACACGAGGCTCGGCCGGTTGAGGGATTGCAACACCCACGAGGCCATAATCGAGATTTGCGACGATTACTCGCTCATCGACAACGAGTACTTCTTCGACCGGCATCCAAAATCGTTCAGCTCGATCCTCAATTTTTATCGCACGGGCAAGCTGCACATCGTCGACGAGATGTGCGTGCTCGCGTTCAGCGACGATCTCGAGTATTGGGGCGTCGACGAGCTCTATCTGGAGAGTTGTTGCCAGCACAAGTACCATCAGCGCAAGGAGCACGTGCACGAGGAGATGCGCAAGGAGGCGGAGTCCCTGAGGCAGAGGGACGAGGAGGAGTTTGGGGACGGCAAGTGCGCCCAGTACCAAAAATATCTCTGGGACCTGCTTGAAAAGCCGACCACGTCGATCGCCGCGAGGGTGAGTTTGTTGGGGGTTCTTTTTTTTTAGACTCTTTATATCTGTTAATCATCTTCGTCACGTAAAGTGCGTCTTTGGGATTGGCAGACCAGTGATTTCCATAAGGACTACAATGAAGAGTTCGATCATCTACTTTTCTTTAGTTACGCGTTTCTCCGCCAGGAGTGACGACAGATGGCGTATCGTATAGTTCAGCCAATCCCAATGTACGCATGATTTATTCTATTGTTATCAATTTCGTTTTCTTTCTTTTACATGTATATTATACACAACAGTGTACACATTATATAAATACAACGAACACGTACTCGAACACTAACACATCACGCATACACGCGCGATTGGATTAATGTTGCTCACGTACGTTTTCCCTATACAGTGTTACATTTACTATATATATATATATTATATATTGTACGTAATAATTCATATTCTATTGTACAGCTTCAGTATACATGTATACGTATTATTGCAGCCGCAGAGCCTTATTCTCTACGCTGCCTATCTACTTTACTATTTTTATACTCTTTGGCTTTTTTCTTCGATACTATTATATTTTATCATGATTTATTTTCTTCCTTAGCACCAAGTTGCTTAGCCCGAGCTGGGGGTGATTCTCCCCAGTTCCTTACCCGACTCTTCTTCTTTTTTTTCGAACTACTGTCACACTACCGTACGGCCTTTCGCTGGTCTTTAACGACTTTTTTATGGCTTTTTTTTATCGCTACCACTCCGTCTTTCTTTCCTACCCACGTACTTCCCCCCTCCCGGTATATCCTCTTTCATTAAGCCCGCGACGAGTTTTTACACCGTGTCGACACCGTCAGACTTTGCAATATACAAACGAGTGCACTTTCTTTACTACGAAAAGGCTTTACTACGAAATTTACGTTACTTTGAGTGTTTATTGTTCGATGTTACACTTCGATGTTTCAATGTTGAATATTTGGTGGTAAAAGGTGTCGATTGAAATTTTGTTTTCAGAGAATCATCAAAAAAATTTTTTTCTTTTTTAGTCTCAAGCAAACAATGACTCTTTCAGTGGAATCGATGAATATTTTCTTTACACTCGTGGTTTTACCGACGTATGAGTAACGCGCGTTGAGGTAGACGTGTGCCCTGGTTACAGTTGGACATGTGTGTGGTTCATGAATATTTTATGTCACGGAAATAGATATGTGCCACATTTGTCTTTCTGGTCATTCACTCGACTGTTTTTTTCCCCTATTGTTTCGTGCGATCATTACGCTTATTTTATTAAACGTTAACTTTTTAATGATACAATTTAAAAAATTATTGCTTGAAAAACGTAACGATTAATTGCTTATCCGAGTGGCCGAATAGTTTAAAGAACATTAGAATCAAGTGCGTAGTCTTTACGAATTGCGAACGTATGTTGGATACTTGTTATTGTTGTCAGTGTATATTTGCTACTTTGAAAACAAATTAATTAATCAATATGACCAAATTCTGCACTAAGCAACTCAATTCTTTGGATAAAAAAAAATTTCTTTATCCTCACTCCGTTAAATATTTTCTTTTAATTAAAAAATATTTAGTCGATCGAATAAAGCATTTAATACAATCAAATAAAAAATTCGTGATTAAAAAAAAATGCAATTTTTTTTTAACAAACTTGCATTTTTTTATTCATAAGAAAAGTTTTAACGGAATGCTCAGTGTGAGGAAAAAGTTTTTCATACACTTGTTACTGTTGGTTGTTAATAATCGATACGAGTATAAATAAATAACGTACACGATTTGAGATTTAGATTTTATTAAAATATAACTACTACTAAAAAAAAAAAAAAAATGCAAAGTAATCAACAACGTAGTTGCTCTAATAATAATTATTCTTGCACACCTGGTTCAATAAAAATGAGAAAAATGAAAAATATTATACACAAAAGTTGAATTGCACTCGTAGTTGAAGTAAGTATTATCCAATAAGGAACAATACTTCTTACATAGAGTTCTTAGCCCACTGGGCACATCCAACTATTGGGATATTCTAATTTAAGTAAATACATCGCAAACAAATACATCACACGTGACCATAAAAATATGGTCGGAAGTAAAATTTATCTGCAAAATCGTACAAACAAGAAAAAATTGGTTTCAATTAAACAGAACATCGTGGAGCGCGTAACAGGTGCCCACTAAATTCTCGCAAGCATTGTTCGTCCGTTCGCACGTCTGTCGTGATATATTGTTCAATTTGATAAATTGCAGTGTATCGCTTGGCTATGAAAAAAAAAAGTTTTTTGATGACTCAAGCTAAAATCACCCCTTTGGAAATTTATGGATATTCAACAGATGTCTGTAAATTTTTACTTTTACTTTATTTTTCACAAATATCGTCCACTTGGAATTTACAAAGCTGAATAAAAGCAAAGTATGACAGTGCGATAACAGTGTACGTGAATCCCGAAAAAACACTATGAAAACTATAATACAATACCCTCCCACAACAACAATATTCGATTAACGATTCGATGTTCAAGAGACGTTCATGACAACAATTCACGTGTTTTTGCAGTTCCCAACAGGAGACTCGAGTTTCGAGCAAAGGTATTTTTCTTCCGACTCGGTTTTATAGTACGACTTTTGTGAACCCCTGTTTTGATAATTGTCATTAGAGATGAACGCCAGATGCCCTTCTTCGCGTTGGAAAAAGCAGCTTTCGACACCTGAATACACAGAACCGGTATTTTTTTTTTTTTTTACCGAATCTGTTCGTCTTCTTTTATCGGATCAAGGCGTGGTTTGGTGTAAAGTGACAGTCTGAAATATACTGATTATTAAATCAAGTTTTTTTTTAAATTCACTCGTATAAATTTAACTATCCTCTACTTGAGTAAATAATACGCCGCCACACTACTTCTTTGTGTTTTGGTTACCCTCACATTGAAATTTCCTCACGTAAAGCCAAGCATTGAGAAACAAACTCTGGAGTACTAAATTGGTCTCTGTCATGGATTTTGAAACATTTAATGATCTATACCCTTAAAAAGATTAATTGGAGGCGCTTACATGTGCTTAAAGATGGCATATATCTTGCTGTCACAATTGACAGGGTTTTAGATTGTTAAATATTATTTTAAAAATGAAAAAGGTTAAAAATTAATTTTTTTACCACTCGTCCAATTAACTTCCCATTTTTTAATATCAAAAATAATCATCATTTATTACAGTCTTTGTTTAAAGATATGCATAACCTACACGGTTGTTAAAATCTTAAAATAACTTTCAACTGTTCCGAAAATCATTACTATAAAATTTGATATTGTTATTAGAAGAGTCAATATTGTTTTGGTAAAAAAATTTTGTTTTTGTAAACTTGTGGTCCTAAATACTCATGTACTGATTTCTTGGTAAACCCTATCGCCCGCAAATTTCGATACCTTTAGCTCGAGGGTTTCTTTAACATGCAAATCAATTTCCATCAAACTCTGTAATCGGTAACACTCTCCCAAGTGTTTTACAAGTAAAAGATAAAAAAATGACAGAAAAATTAAGTGCACCAGCGTTTGCTCTCTCAATCGACACCAGAGTTAAGAGTTGACTGTTGTGACGACCATCCAGTCGTTCAATCACCGCAGCTGAGTCTTCGCCCCATCGACTAACCGATCACTTGTCACTTCGCGGTGTCCAGCGGTTAACACGTCAAACCGCAAAGTTTACTTACTGAAAGGTCAACGACGTAACTTCGTAATGTACCTCTCGAAGGTCAAAGTTCGCGTTCGTGTTCGCTTCATTCCCCGTGTACGGTCGAGTTTGATTGATTACTCAGCCAGTCTCGAGGTGTACCCGATCTAGAACGGCATCTGGCACGCGTAGATGTCGTCGTTCGGATGTATCATCGTAGGCACTTTGTTCACAATAGGTTGAAAATTTGCGAGACATCCGGCAAAAGTAGCATAGATACGACCTTTTTCGCTGCAGTTTGGCATGTGTTTCGAAGTAAAATAACTTTGTTTACCAATATTGTTGTTGTTGTTTTTTTTTTTTAATTGTTATTACTGTTGTTCAATAGACAAGGAGCGTATTTTTATCGATATACGTATAGTACCTTGAAGTAATAATCATTTAGAATATCATCGTGTGCGTTAAAAGTTACTTTGTTACCCCCTTTGCAGTGTAAGTTTTGATTTTCCACCTCTTTTTGATTAGTTTCTTTGATACAAAACTGATGTTACTTCGAGATGGATGTGAGTTTCGTTTGAATTCGAATATTCGGTTTTTCCATGAAATTATTGGTTTTTGGAAAAATTGACCTGATAAAAGCGTTCAACAATTCTAAAAAAAACCAAACAGATCCAGTCCCTGGAAAATTGTATAAATAAACATTATAAGGAGCAAAAAAAACCCCCTTTTTAACTATTTGTAGTATTCAAAATTCCCTTAAGATAAAAAAAATCGAAATGTAAAAAAACATTCGATCAAACGATCCGTTGTTCGAAAAAAAAGACAACAAATGGCTACCAACTTGTGAAAAATAAAATAGCAAAATCAAAACTTGCACGAGGAGTTGGTTCTTAGAGCTCCGTACTTAGACTATACCAGTAGGATTTCGTCAAACTTAAATGAAACACACGTAGCGTGTCTCGACAGCAAAAAAAAAAAATCTCTCGCTTCCACGAAACAAAATCAAAACACGCGAAAAACGATAGTTTTTTGCTGAAAAAAAAAAAAAAAAGAAAAAGAAAAAAAATCCATTCCTGTACCCTACATACACACTCAGCTACAACACGCAAGGGCCACTGAACCGGTAAAATCCAGATCCCCATGTATTATTCCACACACCTAAACCGCGCTACGATACACCCATACTTATAACTTCACAACATATACTCAGAACAGACAGGCAAAAAGAGCATACGCCAGCGCCTTCTTTTCAACAATTGTATAGAGTTTACCGTGGCTCTTCTACTGACTTCTTCGCCAACCTACATACATTTCTAGCAAAAACCCATGTTCGCGATGAACGTCATACCTAT